AGTAATGAGCCCTGGGGGCTATGACGACATGATTTCTTTTCGCCATAAGAGCAAGGAATGAGAGATTACCAATTAGGAACTCTTCGTTTTTAAGTACTTAGTCTACGAGCAGAGGCGTCTGACTATTTCCCCAACAAGTTGTTGACTTCACATTTTTGAATAATTCCAAACCCTCAATGGGGTTTAGGAAACGAGCTTCAGTAGATTTTCCGCCACCAGCATACGTATGTTCCGCGAAATTGACTTTAGGAAGGTTGAAGTCTCCTATAATCAGGATATGAGTGAATTAGATACTAGTAGAGCAGGATAATCCCTCTAACATACAATGGTCGTACTCGATATGGTAAGCGGGCTTCCTATAGATGACTCCAACTAAACATCTTCTGGTGGTAGACAACCTTACTGAACACCATACGGGTTCATCAAGGCTGATAAACCCTTGATTGTGCACTTGACGTACCTCTAGACAAGATAGCAGGTGCGATGCTACTTTTCCCCTCATTTCTGTATTTCTGTCTTTGAGAAACAAAGACATGCCGGTATTCCCAGCTCCTGGTCCATAAATTGAGAAGATATCCAAATTTCAGATATTCCTATCAGACGAGTATTGTTAGCGTTGGTGAGTTCGTGCAGATCATCCATTTCATTCGATAAACTCGTTCGAATATAAACATTTTATGCTTTCAATTCGGAACGCGTGAGGTTCCCCGTTTTGTTTATCTGTATGAGCATTATGCGAATAGATAGGTAACCTACCTACACAGGGTTTTCCCAGTTGGTAGCTCCTATCCCTTCTATGTTTTTTTTCAGTGTCTTAGAAGTTCACATGTGGAACAGTCAACCCAAATTTGCTTGTTTGCTTGATCCTTGAATCATGTGGCGTATCCCAATGCATATGTATTCCATATGGCAACCGGCGTTTGTTGGCACGAAACGCCTCGAGATTTGAAGCCACTATATGGAGGATGGAAAGTTTATCTTCATCTATCGGGGTCTAGAATCCCGTTCTCCTTGGTTAGTCTCACCACATGTTGAGCGAATATGTATTTTAGCTTCAAGGATTACTTGATGAATTCCCATTCTCGAATTTGTGTGATCAGAGTCTTTTTTGCTGGCACATCCTGTGCAATGATATTTCTTCCATTAAAAAACGTCTTGCTAGATTTCTCAGGAATATTTCGGATGGGATTGCGCTCAGAATACGGTATATCAGGCAGTATTCTTACATTCCTATCTGATTTCAACATGTGACTAACCAGTAGGTCATACTCTATGTTGGTAGCGTTAGTGAGCGTTACACGAACTAGCCTTAGGTGGCTTTGATAAGTGTGAATATTACTTGAAGTCTTTTCCTCGTGTGAGCCGTGTGACCGTCAGAGAATCTCTTTTGGGAAGTTCTAACCTTCTGTCTAATCCTTCCGAGAGCATCCTATCATTTTTGTCCAGCAGACTGTGAGGAAGGTCAGGACTGTCTTTAAACTTCATGGTTATAAGAAAATCACTTTACCAGGTTTTCGAGTACGTGAAGGTTGAGGACCTTGTTGTTTCGTGGTTGAAACGTGTTTCAGATTACTGTGCTCTTACCAACCGTTTGGACATTCTTGGGGGTTGACTATAAGACAAATCATCAGTTGATTTCACTACGAAACCTGGAATGTTGTGCTTCGTAGGCAGTGACACGCGGTCCTTTTTAACTTTGTTGACGGGGTCCATTCTCTTCAAAGGTTTTGGGTACCACTGCTGTATTCAGGGAACCTATGCTAAAAAACCCAAGTTTGCTGATGGAGTCTAGTACCATCGATGTTGTGGTTGTGCTGACCTTCGGCATGTCCTCATAAGTGTCAATGCATGTTACGTCGATACTAGCATTATCGAGATCCCTCTTCTTCACTAAGCGTCTTTGTTTGTTTGCTCGTTTTAAGACTGTCTCTTTTCACGTTTGTTAACACATTTTACTTCAGACCTTTCAAAAATTGAGGATGTTGCTAAGCAAGTCGTGGGCATTCATGTTGCACATGCCACATAAGAAATCACGGCCCGATTGACTAAGTCTGTTGCAAGCAGTTGCTGTATGATCTATACGTGCTTCTTAAAAGCAACCCTTGCATTTGTCACACTAAATTCCAGATGTAACAGCAAAACAGTATGCGGGTCGCTTGCATAAATGCTTCATGAATATGGTGATGTGAATTGATCAGTAGATCTTAGCAAAACTCTACGACCGTGAGACGAAAAACAGCATTCAGAAAACGGGTAAAATTGATAAAACGGGTGATACAAATGGTTGGGATACACTAAAACTAGACTTGACGTGAGAAATTGAAAAACCGAATAGTAAGCTGAGGCGAAACCACAGTCAACTATTAACTTGAGTAAAACCGAAAAAGAAAAGCAATGTTCCAAACGTTAAGCTCAGGACAGATTCTTTGGATCAAAATTGGTACTTTTGTTGAGTGAGTGCACAGCAAAAGTTTGAAATATGCAAATCACGTTAAGATTAACATTTAGTATCTCTAGACAGAATTATTGATTAGTTTGATCCTAGTGATTTACGCTTGGGTAGTTGCAATTTTCTGTTGTTTACGGAGAGGTAAAATTATTGCTATATCCCCTCTAGAATGTGAAGGGCATTACAATTTAGTCGATAATACTGGTGATCTAGGAGTAACTTTTGGTAATCCTCAAAGTACTTACGAAACAAAAGTAATCATTGAGTTGTTAAGATAAATAAATTCTCAAAATAAACAGCTATGCAAGTCTTCGACTTTGATGATGATCTTATTAGTTTTACTGAAAGCACCCTGACTGAAGGCGTTAGGTCACACATTCACAGCCGATCGCCAGTGTGTACGCTGTGTTACGTATCCCTTGCAAATGTTAGCCAGCTTATATCAAACGTCTCTCGACACATTGATAGTTGTTGTGTATAAAGGCGTTGTAAAACTCCGGATACCCATTGTAAAATCCAAACTACGGTTTGGACTGCTGAATAGCCGTCCAGGTACTTTAGACATGCGCACTTGCCCGTCAAAAGCAAAACAAGCAATCGCGTAAATAGCGGTTCTATAATTCATCATAAATTTGAATGTAAATCGTTACCTAAACAAATATTACCACCCGGCTATTCAACCAATAATTGTTCAATCAATAAAATCTAAATTACAATAAATAAAGTAGTTGATGAAAGATGAGGGAAAATTACCAGTCACAACAAATGAACGTTATTCTATCCTGACTGGATAGAACACACAAAGGGAGGAGCAAATCAATATGGCTACCGCCAAGAGCAAGTGTCCAGTAAAACAATACAGATGCAGTTCGGGAAAAAACACAAACTTAGTGAATGCGTAAGAAAAACAAAAACTATAATAAAAAATACAAGTATAAACAATTCAAATGTAATCAAAAGACAACAACGTACAACTAAGGGGATCAATAGGAACAAAGTGCAAGTATATACACGGAGGGATTTTCACAAACACACAAAACATTCAAAATGGATCTTACACCCATGACATCTTTAGAGCCTTCAGTCGAAGGACTTATCGGAGAGGCTCATCTCACTAGCTTCCGATAGTGAGTTCCAAAACTTATCACGAAAATATTTTCCCTACTTTTGTGTGAGGTTTTCGTGTCCCTGTATTCACTAGACGTCCTCATAAGTGTGACTTATTCATTGAACACGTTATTAGTTAATTCGTATGGATGGACTATGAACGTCGTGGTACATTATAATCATATCCCTCCTAAACTTTACTTCGCTGACCACAATTTCATAGCTTCCGAATGAGCCAAGTAGGACTATATTTTTGACTCAAGTACCTTTTTAAAAGAACTTCTTTAGACATTTTTCAGATGAACAATATCCTTCTCAAGGTAAGGGGATGTATTATCGAGGTTTTACGAGACGACATTTCAAGTAAACTGCGAAAAACCTTTAAATGAATCCAAAGTCAGAATACCAAGAGCTCCAGAAAAAAACTCAGCTAGTATGATTTATTGATTGCAGATTGACAACAGTAGCAGATAACCAAATTATCACGCAAACTGATAATCAGGCCCTTTTCGGTGATAAGAAATATGATACTAGAATCTCCTGAGACGTGCGAGGTGGGTGGAGTATCACTTCTGTTTATCATTAACTTTCTGTATTCATTGTTGTTGAGAAGAAGGTTTTTTGTGGCCCGGCCTTGAATCCTAATTAAGTTCAAAGTTAGTGTATTAACTGAGTCAGCTACTTAGCTCTACACCTCAAGACTACCCGTAAATAGAAGATTTTAAGAGTTGAGATAGTTAGACAGGTCATTAGTGAATAATAAGAAAAGGAATTGTCGTATAAATGAGCCTTGTGGCACTCCATTTTTCATGTAAAAACAGATCCTGATCGGGAATATGCGACGTAATTCATGTCATCCCTTTCCTTACGGTCACATTCCATAGACATCGCTGGAAGAGGCCGATGAGTTATTCTGTCTTATTTCCTTTTCTAAGTAGAAGTACTACGCAATGCCTTGCAGTGTGACTAGTCATCTGTGTCGTTGGAATAACGATAATCGGACAAGACAAAGTGCATGTTCCCGATGGATTCCTGTTTGTCGGACTTTAGTGTGTCTACTGACAAACTCAGAGTTTTAGATGGTGGTTGGAGGTAATCAACAGGAAACCCTGGGTAACGTCTCTGACTGTGAAGCTGGGTGACGCGGGATCGAATCCGCCAGGGAGCACCAGTTCCCTCAAGATTACAGGTACACCTTACTGACGAGTGCCAAGTAGCACGAAGCCCGGGTCCAAGGTGTCCTGTTGACTACCTCCAACCACCATCTAATCTAGTGCCCGCAGTGTCGAGTCACCTGGACTGGTGGCCACATTGCAACATGATCGATGGTATTCGATCTGCACTTATAAGGACTAGACACCCATGACATTGATCGCCACTCACTGATCAATCAATTGTGAAACTCAGAGTTTCCTTGAGAAAATTTCATAGTTTGTCTACGTTGATGGAGCCATTTCATCCTCCCAGTGTACACTTTCGAAATATGTCGTCATTATCTCTGAAAAATGTTTTGTATGGGTCACCTTTATTAGGTAAACTTATTATAAGGAGACAAAGCGGTATGAAGACATGATGGCTCAATCATAACGTGTTTAAGGTTAGTAAGTTGGTAGCTAGGATATATCGGTTGTGAAAGTGTAATGTAGCCTGGAGACGTGTCCACTAGGAATGAACTATATTTTTTGATATGCTGAGTTCGTCTATCAAGTTTTCAATAGCAGCAACCAACTTAAAAACTATGGACTATATAGAAAGATGAGGAACATTAAAGTCAACCACCGACAAGACCTGCGAAAGCTCCAGATGGTCTACAGATTACGTTAACCATAAAAAGGCCACAAATACGTAAGGCGCAATCCCATCACCCAGAGCATAGCAAGGGGGAATCAGTTTTGATCTTTTTTGTAAGGGTCGTATACTACTTTGTAAAGGGTAGGCTTAGCCTCTGTTGTGGAGAAAATTTTCAAGATGAAAACAATTAGCCGTTTAGATTTAGAAATAATAAACGAGGCATGTTCATCAAACTTTAGGCTTCCTTTATAATTAACACCTAGATCGTGCAGTGATCTGAGTGTTTGAACTGTACTTCTATTTAAATAAAGTTGTAAATCATAAGAATGTTTTCTAAAATGCATGAACACACACTTCTTAAGGTTAAATGGTAATTGCCATTTTTCGCTCCCGATAGTTAGGTTATTGAGGTCACTTTGAATCTGGGATACACTTTCGCCTAGAGCTTCAGGCTTCAAGCTGTGTACTATTTTGAGATCGTCAGAGTATAAGTATGTTCTCCCAAACTTTATTGCGTTACATATATCGTTTATATACATAAGAAACAAGAGTGGACCTAATACATACCCCTGGATGACTCCAGCAGTTATTGGTCTAGGTGATGAAAGAGAGTTATTATACTTCACCATTTGTTTACGTTCTGTTAAGAATGAAGCAAACCATGAGTATAGTGGGTTTGGGATTCCGAAGGAATTTAGTTTGACGAGAAGCCTTTTGTGTGGGACGTCGGGCTCACCAGTTTCGTGCCTTAAGATAACCCTCGTGCTATTGATAGAAGAAACCAGAAAAGTGGTGAATAGGTCTTTATTTCGATCTCCGCGCAGTCACAATGGAGCGTGGGATTATTTGTTCAGACAAACAAAGCCTCTCAACATTCAATATAAGTTGATAGAAAATATAACGCCTATACAAAATAAGGAAGTGAATGAATACTTGAAGGATACTGTTTTGACATGTGCTTGGTTGTTTGGGGTCAACTCTTAACCAACCAACCTGTGCTGTTACAGGACCACATCAAACCTTTTCTTGAAGTCTAAGAACAGAACTAATGAGGAATCTTGAGATTTGAGAGGAAGATGCTTGAAGCATAACCTCATCACTTCCGACAGATAATTTATTCGTGTCAAACAACTGAGAACTGCTGATGAAGAGTTCGAAGTGGAGATCCAACCTTCAGTTTCATTTTTACCTTGGAGTTAAAAGTATATTTAGTTCAGATAAATAGCCCCTTCTTTGACTTCGAGGGATGAAAATATTTCGCAATCTATCCAGAGACAAAATACAAAGCCGGTCCTTGATACTAAACTTCAATGATCGATGAAATATTCACACAATGGATCTATACTCTTTAGGATATATGTGGCTTATAGATAACTATGATGATTAGGAGTATTTGAATTATAGTACGAACTGAGAATCCCAGAAATAACGCAATTGGATCAAGAAGTACTAGATAAGTACGAACGAATGTACTATACTTGGAATTCAAAATCAAGCATTCAACAAGTACAAAGGAATCATTAATTCATTCAAACGCCACAGCAACTAAAAAAATCATAAACCCTCTATGGACTCCACAGTACACTTAATAAATTTTAGACGTATTTAAAATTCGCGTGTACACCAGCCCTTTTGTTCATCATACTATCATTATATTCTTGCTTTGAGAAATGAGAAAAGATCCATTAGGTTGCCTGTATTATCTACAGAATGACTTGGTCCTGACCGATTGTATAAAAAATTTGTTCATCACTCAGTGGAAGAAATATGAGATACGGTACCTGTATAAAATAAGGTGAATAACTCTGAACTCATATTCCGATGCTTTTACCACAGTTGTAGATTAAATCGATCGATTCGTCAAGTTAGCAGCCTGTGGGTTGCGGCCAAGAATGTTATATGAGAGTTTTGTTTGCAACCATACTGTCTGCTATTTTAACGAATAGTCAAGTTTAGTAACTGAAGTGATTTGTGGAACTTCCTCGTTCTACAAGAGGTAAATTGATATGTTATTAAGGACTCGGCATGATATCTCAGACATATCAACCAGTTGTTTTCCATTTTTACTTTTTTATATGTCTAGGTCCGTGCCTAGACATACCAGTGATTCAGTACTGCTCGACACTTAAGCTCGTTTAATGAAAGCATCTTTCATTATGTACATGATCATTTAAATAATTCTTTAAAATGACTCAGAGAGGACTATCTGGCAAAATTTAGTGCTCATACCTGATATATTGGACAGTTTGACGGACGGACTTTCCATACAATCTTCAATAGTTTCATCCGTCCCCACTTAGAGTACGGAAACATGGTACTCCCTCCCTCACTCCAAAAGGACAAGGACGCCCTGGAGCGTATCCAACAGCGAGCCACGAAATCAGTTCGAGGACTCAAATCTAAACCTTACGAAGAACGCCTCCATTCACTAGACCTTTACCCATTAGAGTATAGGCGTCTTAGAGGTGATTTATTAATGGCTTATAGTATTCTTAACACTTCTGGACATCCTCTTAAACACCTACTTAAGCTTAGTTCGAATAACAACCTAAGGGGTAACACCCAGAAACTGGAAACACAACATAGCAAGACGGAATGTAGACACAATTTCTACTCCTTAAGAGTTGTCAAAAGCTGGAGTTCGCTGCCAGCCGAGCTAGTCCAAGCGACTTCTCAGGAGTCCTTCAAGAGGCAACTTGACCTATTCTTAAGGACCAAGAACAGCATCACATTATGATTTACCAATCTCTTTTCCTCTTTTATTGTTAACATACCTAGGTTCCTGCCTGGAGGATTTGGTGATCCCCTGCTACTAGACACGGAAGCCTGTTAAGCGAAAGCTTCTTCTATTCCGTCCACAACCATTTGAACCATATTGTTTTTTGAACGCTTAAGGCGCTTGAGTCTCTTAAGGCGTTACAAAAATGATAGGTGGGGTTTTTATCTATAACCACAAAGGAGAAGTTTTGATTTCAAGAATATTTCGCGACGATGTCTCAAGAAATGCTGCAGACGCTTTTCGAGTCAATGTAATTCATGCACGACAACAGGTTCGCTCGCCCATAAGCATCGTAGCAAGGACAAGTTTCTTTCACGTCAAAAGAGCAAACATTTGGATATGTGCTGTTGCTCGTCGAAATGTTAATGCTGCTATGGTCTTTCAGCTGCTGCATGCTCTTCTAAACCTGATGAAGGATTACTTCGGTAGAGTTACGGAGGAAACATAAAAAACAACTTCGTTTTGATATACGAAATTCTCGATGGTAAGCTAACTTTTTACCTGATTTTTGTTACAGAGGTAATTGATTATGGATATGGGCAGAATACAGATACAGGAATTTTGAAATCCCTCATTACTCAGGCTGGGACACGCACAGCTACAAAAGAGGAGACTGCTCAAATAACAAATCAAGTTACTGGTCAGATTGGATGGCGCCGTGAAGGTATAAAATACAGAAGGAATGAACTGTTTCTGGATATCATGGAGTCGGTCAATCTTCTTATGTCACCACAAGGTAATTTAAACACCATATTTCTTCCCCGTTCAATTTGTGCTATATTCTAAGAAATATGTTGATAACAGGAAAACCGTAACCTTCATTTGTTTTTTCGCAGTCTACCGTATATTTCGTAAAAGCTTGCAAATAGTGACTCTGAAATCTGATAGGTTTAACATCTTTCCGTCCCAACAGGCTACGAATATTCTGATTGTTAACACTTGTTTCACAAGATCAAAGGAACTGATCTCACAGACGCGTTGGAAGCCAGATCAGATTCAGATTTGTGTAGTAAGAACAGAAGAACTACGGTCTATGTTATTCCTTTTCTAGTATGCTTCTGTGAGTGTCCAGTCTTCTCTTGAAAGAGTCAACTGAAGGTGCGGACACCACTGCTTCAGGCAGCAGGTTCCAAGTATTGATGACTCGGTGTGAAAACCTGTATGCCACGGGAATTTTGTTCGTTCTTGGCTTGTCTACTCGCCTGCTATGTCTTCTGAGGTGTCCCGATCTAGTGGGAAGAAAGAGGGAGAATAAGTTAGGTCCGAAATCATTTCTCATTATTTTGTACGTCAAAATTAGTTCTTTCCTTAGTCTGCGATAGGACAGAGTAAAGAGGTTCAGTTTTTCAAGCCGCTCTTTATATGATAAACCCGGAGTTCCGGAATTGCACGCGTAGCTGCCCTCTGTGCCTTTTCTATTATGTCCGAGTCACCTTTAAACAGGGGCTTGCAGCCTGAACGCAGTTCTCTAACTTAGTTCTCACTAAGGATGTGTATAATGTGGTAAACATGGTAGTATCTAACTTAGTGAATGTCCTTTTTAAAGCCCAGAGGGTTCGAAACCCCTTAACTGCGACCTCCCGGCAATGGGCCGTCGTCTTAAGATCATTGCTCACTGTCACCCCTAGGTCCTTATGAGACCGGACTACGGGTAATGACACATCCCCTATGTTGTACGTATTAACCTTTGAATCCCCCAAGTGCATGTAGACACACTTTTCCGAGTTGATAGGCATTAGCCACTCTTTAGACCAGTTTATCATATTATTTAAGTCCGCCTGAAGAGTAAATGCGTCTTTGTCTCCAGTTATTACTCGCCAAATTTTTACATCGTCAGCGTATAATAACATTGGAGACTGTACTATACTTGTAAGATCATTAACGTACATTATAAAAAGTAAAGGACCTAAGACGGAACCTTGGGGTACTCCACTAAGTACTGGTCTCCAGATGGAGCACTTGGAATTTATTCTTACTTTTTGCCTACGACCTACTAGGAAATCCTTAATCCATTTTAAAAGAGGTCCGGCAATACCAAGGTTTGCCAACTTCAATAGCAGCCTATTAGTTGGCACCTTGTCAAAAGCCTTACTGAAGTCTATGTAGACAACATCCACTGAGTTTCCGTTGTCTAGCGCATTAATCCAGAGCTCCCTAGCTATAAGGAGGTTCGTTGTACAGGATAGACCCTTTCTAAAACCATGTTGTGCCATGTTCAGCAAGTTATTGGTTTCCATAAATGCTGTTATGGTCCGTTTGATTATTCTTTCCAGTATTTTAATTACAACACTGGTGAGGCTTACGGGTCTGTAATTTGATGGAACTTGTCGTAGACCTGTTTTATGTATGGGAGTGACGATTGCGTCCTTCCAGTCCATAGGTAACACACCTTGGTCAAGTGACATTTTGAATATCACAGTCAGTGGGGCTGCGATATATTGGGCAATATGTCTCAAGATTTTAGGGTGTAGTTCATCTGGTCCTGTTGACTTCTCCATGTTTAGGGTGCTAAGAGCCTTAAGCACATCGTTTTGGTCGAAGTCCACGGTGAGCAGCTGGTTTGTTGACTCTGTAATTGGGTCTGGTTCTTTCTCTAGAGGAGGTTCCTGAGTGAAAACTGCCCCAAAGTAGTCAGCCATAACCTCAGCTTTTTCCTGATCTTCCTCTATCATTTCAGATTCACTTCCTACTTTAATTAGGTTGGGAATCCAATGATGAATCCTTGTTCTGTAGTTTATGTACGAGAATATCCTCTTGGGCTGCTTGAGTGCAGATTCTGCCAGCTGCATTTCATATTTTCTTTGCGCTTCCCGAATTTTAGTTATACACTCGTTTCTTATCGATCTGTAACGTTCCATCGTACCCGCTGTGCCAAGGCGGATGGCAACATCCCAGCATTTCTTCTTTTGTCTTAGTAAGCGTCGAATATCCCGCCCTATCCAGGGATGTCCGTGCTTCTTTTTCTTTGGGACAGTCCAGGGTATGTATGGTTGAGTTACCCGATTGTATAACTGCCTGAATAGAGTCCATGCCTCTTGTACTGATGCCTTTGAGTCGATTTCCCAGTTCTCAGCCGATGCTGCGGAGTTAATTGCCTGCATATCTGCCTTCCATATGTTAGGACGGGCCGGCGCAATTGTTTGACAAGCAATCTCAGCCATGAATTTGAATAAGATGACTGCATGGTCACTTCTCCCAAGTGGTGGGAGAAAAGCCGTTTGACCAACGTCATCACCGTGTGTGAAGACTAAATCTAAAAGAGAAGAGTTTCTTAAGTCGTATCTTGTGGGATCTCTAATGTGTTGGAATAATGCTAGTCCAATCGAGGTTTCTAACAGTTTGGAGTCGAACGACGATATGGATGACCCTACTTCTAAGTTAACCCAGTTTATATATGGTGCATTAAAGTCGCCTACTACAAGGCTTTTACCGTTGTTACACCAGGACTTAAGTTTACTAAGGAGAAAATCATCTGCTACACATTCTGGACTGCGATAAACTACAACTACTTCAATATCTTGCCTTCGGCATTTCAACTTACATCTCACCAGTTCACATGTCCCTGAAACATGTGCTACTGTCTCAGCTAATCTTATGGTTAGGGTACTTTTGGTGTACAAATAACCCCGCCTCCCCTTCGGTTTAATCTATCAGCCCTACTGGTTATGAAACCAGTCAATTGGATTTCACTATCTAATACTTCTGACGTTAACCAAGTTTCCGAGACAGCGATAACGTCCGGTTTTTCTTTGTCCACCACTGACTTCAGCTCCGCCATTTTATTTAGTAGGCTGCGAGCATTTGTGTAGCACACTTTTAAGTCTGTGGAGAGCTTTCCCTTGCCACCCAGAGTGGCTTGGGGATCGTTTTGCTCCGAACTTTTACAATCTGATCTTTCAAAAGTGACCAAACTAGTTGACTACGTAACACAAGTCACTCACCAAATATGATCTTATGTGTTAAACTTCGAGTCGCATTTTGTGTGAGGGATCCCCAATTGGAAGTTGGTGTAATATGACTCGAAACTGACACTAATGGTCAAAAGTAGAGTTCTCTAACTGTTATCCTTCAGCTCTGCAAAACCTCACACCTATCATGGCGTCGACATGTCGTACGATGTCTGTCTCCTAATCTCATTTGCTTATGTTGACATTTTATTAATATGCCTCTCCCGTTGTCAATATTACTTCTAATTCCTCGTTTTGTTAGTTTCTCTTTATTGTGTTGGAGTAAAATGTGATAACTCAGATCAACATATACTTGTGCCGGGCCTTTTTGTTGCTTCTTACTGTGTATTATGTGGGGAAATTAGGGTTATTAAATGCCAGCTATTGAAAGTTCGATTTCACAGTTAAAAGTTCATTTGTGTGTCCATATATGAAGTGCCCGAATCGAATCACAGATGTTTTACAAACTAAGCTTTATTACCAGATGTAACTTAAAGAGGATGTCCACGGCAGTTATGTTTGAGTCCTCTTCTGCATTTTGTTTGTTTTAAGTATGTGAAACTTCGAATTGCAACTTCATCAGTCAAAACGTAGTATTTATTGTATTTTAGACACATAAACATATACAAGGAGGCATCAAATAAATATGCGCCACATAAATAATTCATCCGAATTGTGTGACGGCTGGAATACTGCCCGGGTGACCAAACCGAATCAGATGGTTTCCTTAGGGAGCCACACCCGGAGCTCTCGACCTAAAGGTCTGATTCATAAGGCAGTGGAACAACGTCAGATGTAGTCCTATGGTAACCGGTGACCAACAATAGGTTCATATGCCATTTGTAACTTCAGGATACTGGAGCCCATGTGGAGCATTGGTTTGGAATGAGGGTTTTTCCAACTCCCCTAGGTGGAGTCTCCGTGTCCACCAACCCGGTTAGAGCTCCAGACATTCGCTTTTCGTCCTCTCAATTTTGTGAACAACAGTAATGCCGCGAGAAGGCAGTGAGTAGAACTTCCCTGTCAGTGGCTGTATGCACATGGCCATGTGAGAGCATTTCGAGAGGGAAAGCTGACTCTCCCCACTCTCAACCGTACCAGGGCATTTGGGGGAAGTCACAACGTAGAAACTGACACGTTTATACATCGGTTCAAGCTGCAATACCCCGTTAGCACAGAGAGATAAATTGTCATACCAACTCCCAGAATACCACAGGTAGTAACAATATAAGTGGTAATTAAGATTGGTTATTGAAGATACAGTTCGAGAAAGTATAAATTGGTAGTATAAAAACAAAACCTCACGAGGATTTCAGAAGCTCAGAATTTGTTAGAAGACAAAAAAGTGGATAAACTACAACTTATAGGAAGAAAACCAGTTAAACTGATATTCTATTACAGTAAATTATTCAATGTGAATACTTCACAGAATTTCAATACATTTTTACGGGATTTTGTGTTAATGACAAACACTCAGTGTAAACATTCTTATCACTTTTTAACTGTTATTTAATCGAAAAACAATGTATCTTGATTGATCATACTGGGTTAACATCTGAAAGCTTCCACCAACTTTGCCGTAGTTAATGGAGCATGGTAAAGAAGAGGATAGTAGTTTTCACAGTCGGAATAGCGGATTATTACCACGATGCACAAACGTATCAGTTTGAACAACGAAAACGTATATAGTTCTTTTCGTTTTTAAGTATTTTGATCCTGTTCATGTTTTATATCATGTTTTGTGTGAAACTTCATGTTTTAACGTCGGACAGTCTTAAAATCTACTAGA